TCTTTTGTTTGATTCGCAAATAAGAAATTGCAAGCATCGTCAGCGCTGTAGAATTATGGCTGTTGTTACGAGGCTTTTATGTACGCACAATAAAACTGAATAAGCAGTACCGTGTCACAGTAGCTTCGTATCGTTTCTATGAGCCACTGCGATACAAAGGCTTCAAAACAATAATTTCCTTGAACTTTGAGTCCGTTAGTAGAATCAAGCACTTTCAACCACTGCTTTTTGAGGTCATGTTCATGTGAGCGCAATTGTTTCACAGCTCCGTATTTGGTTGATCATTGTGTAGTGGACCTCCAATTAATGTTTTTGGAGTCACACCAATTTTTTGCAACTTATTTGAAGAAATTCCTGACTCGCAAAGGCTTTCTGTCAGGTACAAAGATCGATTACTAGAGAGACTACTACCTTGAAAAAAGTCAGTCACAACATGTATTCGAAGCACGCGATGAGAACGATAAATGACTAAGTTTTCATGAGTTTTTTCACCAAATAATAAATTTCCTCTGATTACAAGTGCGGGGAGTGTCATGTGACGACATCAGTCGATTTTCCTCTTAGAAGAAAGAAAAGCCACTTTAGGGATGTTGGCACCAAATATTTGTTCTTACTGCAGTCACATAATTTCTTCTGAACGACATATTCTGACAAACATCGTCGTTTCTAGTCTGTTAAATGTCACGCAACGCCATTCTGGCTACTACAGGCTGCAGTATACCGATGGAGCAATTAATGTAGGCTAGACGCCCAAGCGCACTCAGTATGTCTATAAAATTTGTTTTGTTGATGAAGGGTTCGACTGATATTTTGGATAAGAGTTTCCACAAATTCACTGAAGGATTCAGAAACAAGCGAGAAATGAGGTGTCACCAAGAATGTGCTAACACAAAGAAATAATCGTGAAATCGTGCCAGAGTTAGTCGTAGGAAAAACAGTTACATTAAGATACCGGGTTTTTTAGTGATTTACGAGATTTCTACACTTCATACAATCTGAAGTGTATCAAAATGAGAAGGTACAGTGATTGCTATTAGGAAAGCAAGTAAGGTAACGGTGAGCAGAGGTTTTCTCGCTTTCCTTCGTGAACGTCCCAAGTTTCTCAATATGGTCGATGTTTTTGGAACGCTCTCAATATCTTCGCAATTTCGAGACAAAACATTATTCATTGTTGTACATTTCGCACAGTACAGTCTCATTTCATTCGTGCAAAGGTGAGAAACTCTTTAATGGTTTATCTCATTTCTGCAGATGCTTTGAAAAGATCATCTGAAAAGCTTGAAGCGTCGTTTTTTCTAATACATGTGATCAATTCACGGTTTTTTTTTCAGATATTTCAACACTAAGAAAATGCTGCACAAGCAAATGAATCCATTCAATTGAAGGATTAAATATGTTTATTAGATCAAAGTCATAACAGTAAACAAAAAAGTATGTAACAAATTCTCAGTCTTCCCCTTCGATAAACATTTATACATTTAAGAAGTCGCTTCCATAAATTTCTAACGATGCTCGCACACATTTCCACCTAATTCCGTTCCAACCACGTGTCAAAGCCGTTTTAAAAGCGTCTGCGTTAACACGGCGAGTAGTCGACAATTCGTTCTCTAATATGGAGCACAAGGTATAATCCACTGGCTTGATATCCGACGAGTTTGTCAGCCAAATTTCATTGCTCCAAAACCTTGGGGGCACTCATTAACAGATGGCAATCGTTAAGCGAGCCGAATGCGCAGAAGCTCAGTCTTGCTGAAGCGCAAATTCGTCGACACCAAAGTACTGAGTACTCCAAGGCTCTAGTGCGCCCCATAAGACTCGATGCTGATAGCTCGCAGCGTTGATTTTGACGTTTCTGTTAGTGAAGGGAAGTTGACGATGTTGTTGGAAACGCCACAAAGAAGATCTAGCCCGAAAAAGTTCATCGGAATCTGTGTGACTGTAGTGTTCCACTGTCAGCGTTCATGAGTTCATGAACAAAGATGGGATTACAAAAACTTCCGCTATGATATGGAATTGATAGCGGAGAGGTTCTACACTAATCTTTCCCGTTCCACCATCCGTCTCGGGCCCCGCAATCCCCACTGGAGAAAAATCATTTGGGATTCTACGTTCTGAAGCTTAACTTACGATAGAAAGCACGAAAAAAAGGCACAGCTCCATACACCCAACAAGAGAACATGAGCGCCGAGTGAAATGCAACACTGCAGACAAACTATCTCAAATTATCATTATATTAACTATAGTGGAAAGCCATGTCGAGGACTCAGCCGAACAAATGAAGCAAATTGAGTATGAAACATGATTTTGTTTCTGCTGCAACAAGTGATAAATCTTCTTTAAAATCAAACTTATCTCCAAGATTACAGAGATTTAAGCTTTTGATTGAATTCCAAATGTGTGGGAGAAAACTTTTATCCAGCAAGGAAAGCTTACAAACGCTCGTGTATCATATTTGATACACATGTTTCATTAGGGGTTAAGGAATCAGCAATAGAGAAAAACGTAAGAGTTTGTGTTTTGTTTGACAAGGAATTGTCAAATTGTACTAAAATATCTTGCATAGCGTATTTCAGTACATGTCATTGAGTTTTGATCTAATTTGATATACTTGTTATTAATGTAAAATCTCGTCGCTGCATGTAAATAGAATTTCAAAGTGCTCAAGATAAAGTTGAGCAGTAGTCATGCAGACTGATCGTTTTTTGATGTCATTCGGTGAAACCTTCATAAAGCTGTCGCAGTTGATTTTATTCTAGTTATTCACAATAATCTTTCATTATTTTGTTCCAAGTAATCCTTGTTCAACTACTATCTTTATGGCCACTAATGATACAACAGCAGTAGTATTTTCTTGAATTATAGACGCGAGAGATTCCTTCATGTAAATTTTTCATTTGCAAATTTCTCACCTGCTTTTGAAATGAAGCGCTAAATCAAAATACATCACATTGCACACTTCAGTGCAATTTATTGCATCACCTGTATCACCTGTCGTCCCGTTGATCGTCGAGTGACTCGAGCGAGTACCAGCAACTCTTCCATTTTTCCCTATCGCGTGCAAGAGAAGCCCAGTGGGTCCTCCTTGCTCTAGGAATTCGCTGAGCATCATATCTTTCTTCCATCGCTTTCGTGAAGAAATCGGACCAACGGGTCAGTGGTCTTTCTTTAGAGCGCTTGACGTACCGAGGAATCCAGTCGGTAACGGCTCTCGTCCATCGGTTGTCGTTGAAGCGCATCACGTGTCCGGCCCACCTTATTTTCGATATCCTGGCGTGTAGAACGGCGTCTCTGATTTTCGATCGTTGACGTAGGTCGGAACTTCGGGTCCTTTCTCTCATTTGCGAGATGCGGGATACTCCTAGCATCGACCTTTCGACTGCGCGTTCGATAACGCAAAGTGATCTTTCATCCTGATTATGTAGCGACCAGGTTTCTGCTGCATACGTTAGGGCAGGGATAATTGTCGAGTCGAAAAGGTGGGCACGGAGTCGGATGTTCTTTGTCCTCTTCACTACATCTTCGATGCTCTTAAACGTTCCCCAAGCCGCTCGTTTCCTACTGCTCAACTCTGGGGCTAAGTTGTTTATCATGTTGATTTCACGACCTAGATAGATGTAACTGGAGCATTCGGAAATTGTCGTTCCGTTGAGCGTGAATGGGGCAATAGAAACCCATCCGTTCCTCATGAACATTGTTTTCGTTAGATTCAGTTGAAGACCGATCTTTCCACAGGCGTTATCGAAATCAGTCAACATTCGTTCCGCTTGGCTGATGTTTTGTGTTATGAGAACGATATCGTCAGCAAAGTGAAGATGGTTTAATTGTCGACCGTCAATTTTCACTCCCATTTCGTCCCATTCTAATGTTCGCATGACGTTTTGTAGGGTGGCAGTAAATAGTTTTGGCGATATTGTATCGCCTTGTCTAACCCCTCTTCTTACGTCAATGGTGATATTGTTGTAGAATGGAGATATTCTGGTCGTGAAATCTTTATAAAGCTCACGAAGGATCATTATGTACCGAGTAGGGGCGCCCTGGTTATCCAGAGCCTCTATAACCGCTTCCGTTTCTACTGAATCAAAGGCTTTTTTCAGATCGATAAAAGTGAGACAGAGTGGTTGTTTGTACTCTCGCGAAACTTCAATGAGTCTTGTGATCGTGTGGATGTGGTCCATGGTACTAAATCCTTTTCTGAACCCTGCTTGTTCAGCTGGAGGGAAGGCCGTGGCAGAGTGGGTGTGATGTTTGCCACGGCGCGCGTGGAGCCCAGTTCAACCACCCGTGGAACGTCACAGCCACGTGATCCTTGAGATTGCAGGGAGATAAGCCCCACGAGTATTCCATGTCTTTCAAGAGAAAGACAAAAAACGAGATGATGGCTAGAACTTTTGGGATCCGCGCAATAAAGATTGTGTTGACGAGTACTGCGAAAAAAAAATTTCAAATAGGTTAAGGTCTCGATAGAAAAGACTAACTTCAGCCACGGACCTCCCTCTTTGAGGGATCCCGCCCGGTTAGTCGCGAGGGCACGTGGCGCATCCCCAGGTGGTGGATAGGGGAATAAAACGCGAACCAAAAGCGACCGTGTGCTTCCCAGAGACGCAGGTGGATTCAGGGGACGAGCTCCCTGCTTCTGCAGTGCCGACTTGACAAAACTCTATTTCTACGAGTCAAGTCGGCCAAAAGCCTGCAATCAAGCGGCTGGGAAGTACATGGGAGGCGGTTAGGAGTCGCCTCCAACAAATAAGCTCCTCCCGCTCCTCCGAGAGAGACTGGCAAGCTACTCGTGAGTACCCAGCCCCCACGTTTAGAGCCTGGCAAGCTACACGTTGGGTATCAAAAATGCCAAAAACAGTAACAAATTTATTGCATAACTCTGAGTAATTAACACTCAAATGATTGCAATGTCCGTATATAATGCTGTAATGCAGCAGTAAATAAGAGCCAAATGGAAATGTTTACAATAAACCCAATGGTGTAAAGTGGTGTGCAAAAACGTGTGCGTCATCTGGAATTCGAACCCAGGTCTTACGCTTTCCGGGAGTATGTGCTAAACCGTTGCACCACCGACACTCGTTTTGCATTCCACTCTTTCTACACTACAACGCGTTATCTGTCATCAGCCAACCACCTACGATGTGGCGGAACAGTCATTATCGACATTGAAACCACTTCTGTTGACAGATATTGGGTTACAATAATCAATCGGGAATCATTTTAATTGACCGCCGACTGCGGTGTTATGATGTTTCAATAAATCCAATGATGTAGAGTGGTGTGCAAAAACTGAAAATGTTTACTTTGAATACATCACAGTCCAATTTCAGTTTCCTCCGACAATGGCGACTGCCGAGAGGAAGTGCGATCCGAGTGGACCCGATGCCAACATTCGAATCGCTCGATTTGCTACACTTTGCCACATTGCTTTTGACCAACTCGCCATGATAATGTTAGTGGTCTGGAGAGAACCTTTTTCACAAGACAAAGTTGTATAAATAGAAGAATTAAATTCATACTGAAAGAGATCCTGAAATTGTCACAGGTGCGCCGGACACAGGCGTTATTTTCACACCCTGATTCGCTGGCGCTGGCTGCATCATACACGTTATCCTGGCGGTTACAGAGCAAATTGCCGTCACCGTGTTGTCGTTAATGATGCAAGCTCTTTCCATTGGCATTACTGCAAGAAACTGTAAGCCTCATAGGGACTTATCTACGAAAAAGTCGAAAAAGTTTTGAGCGTTGATGTTCTTCCATTATTTGTAGCTTTTTGAACCATTACGTCAGACTTTGAGTGTTGTACCATTCTCAGAAAAAGACACAAAAAATTTCATCTAAATAACATCGATGTCACAGGTTCGAATTTTGGTGGAGTTATTGATGGTTTTCTTCATATTCCGCGACCCTTTATAGCAATATTGTACCAATCGTTTGTATTACGAATAGTAAGAAAGCCGTTCTTTTTTGATACCTATCGCATTTTTGTTTGTCTCGCAAAATCAGAGATTGAATACTCACGCGGATCTACGCCTCCGTCACCGAAACGCACATTCGGGCATTCCAACGGTGTGTAATTGACTGTCACAGTAAGCTGACTCAAAATGGCCGAGATGACAGCATCAGGCAGGAGTGCACTGCGAGCCTGGCTTTCTAGAACGTCAAAGACCTGAAAAGCAGACTTTTTCATGATTTCAAAAAGCTTATTTAAAAGTGTTTAAGTCAATTTGCTCATAACGTTGAAAATCGCATCAACATTGGGTGGCCGAAATATTGTTAGTCGATTGAAGCTCACTTTCTACACTTTCTAAAGTACCATATAAGGCAAAAAAACGCTTGAAATCTAAGAGTTGCTCCTTACTGTTTGCATTACAAGGCGTTCTACGAATCCTTTGGCTCCTGCCTCGCTAGTTGCAATACCAGGAACTTGAGCCAGGACAGCACTTGAGGTGGAGTAAGCCAAGACGACAGGCAAAGTAAAGCCAGTAACAGTGAAATTCCTTGTGCTCCCTGCAAAAGATTTTATAGTTTCTTCTAATAAATGGTTAGCAGCGACATTACTATACTGGACAATTTTTCTTCCTTTTTTTTTACCGAAAATCCAAATTCTTTTATCAAAGGACTTGGACTGCAACGTCTCAGAGCCCATTTTCATTTTGCTGCTTTCAGAACTGAAAGTATTTGAGCAACCGTAGCAATACGCTATTTATCGCCTTGACCAGCTGGCATCACTCCACATCCAAACGCTGTCGAGATTGTGGCCAACAACGAAATCATGAAGTGGTCCGTCGGATTTCCAGCTTTGTTCACAAGAAAAACCATATTTAACCACTAAATAGCTAAGCAAAGATCATGATCTCAGCGCAAGCAAATTGGCAACTTTTGCCCCAGATAATTCACAAGGTAAAAACGAATTAGGAGCTTAGCCCCTGAACATAAGTGGTGTCAGTTTAACAGCTTTTCAGAATTTTCCAGTAGTTTCAAACGTTCAATTCGCTTAATGCGGAGTATTTCAAAAAGCTTCGTGATATTAGGTCTCCTACTAAGCTTCTGAACTTGATCTAGAAAATAAAAATCGTCCTACAAAACAGATTTTCATTTTACCTACTTTGTGCAGAATTTTGTTGAGCACCGTTTGGCAAAATTTTGCACATGCTTGCCTAACAATGGAGCTGTCATGGGAAATCATTCGCAGCTTACTGCTTTACAAGTGTCAATTGAGGCACAATTTTCAAACTGCATTTGACAACATTAATCGTGCAAAAGGCCTCCAAGTTGTGGGGGGAACTACGGCGTATGAATGTTTTACAAAATTTCGCAATGGAGATAATGGTTTGACCGATCATTCAGGATTCGGAAGACCGCGTGAATTTGACCGAGAAGCAATCACTGAAGCGATTGAAAAGGATCCGACTTTGTCAACCGGTGATTTAGCCGTGATCTTCAATATCCAGATCAGGAAGATTTTGGAAAATGCAAAAGATGCATTCAAGAAATGGCGTGAGGGCAACTGGATCTCGCACGATATCACACAAGCTCAAAAGAGCAATCAAAAGCACATTGCGCAAGCTCATCTTCGTCGTCATCGCCGCTCTTCGTCTTTGAACAGAACTGTCACCATTGATGAAAAGTGGATCTTCTATGAGAACCAGCGTCGTCCAAATCAGTGGTTGTCACCAGGTCAGCAGGGAGCGTCAACACCGAGACCAAATCGATATGCCTGAAAAGCAATGTTGATCATTTTGTGGGACCGAAGTGAGTAGTCGATTTATTGGGACTTGTTGCAAGTCGGTCAGACCACTAACGCTGAGCGATATTGTTAGCAACTGGACCACTGCAATCCAGCAATTCCACATCACTGTCAAGTCATTTTGCTTCAAGACAATGCAAAGCCACAAATTGCCAAGAAAACAAGGAATATGTTGACCGATTTGGGCTAGGAGCACTTGTATCATCCGCAACAGCCGCCAGATCTATTTCCGTCCAATTTTCATCTCTTCTGATTAATGGAGTGATGATTGGACAAGAAGAAGTTTCACGACATCAGTTATTTGCATCGAGAATTGACTGATTGGTTTACTATATTCTAAGAGAACTGAGTGGTGAGCAAAAAACGACCTCAGGCGGAAATCGAACCCACGTTTCATCCTATCCGGAGATGCGTCGGGCAAATGATCGTAACAGTGCAAGATGCAATAAAAAAAGACGATCAATTTCGAGTAATAGTAATTAGAGTAGATGTCAGCTCTACTGGTTTATAAAGCGAAATCGTATACCCGATCAAACCTGTCAAAGGTTGGTGGCTGATAGCTAACATTGAGATGTTGAAGAATGAGTGGTCGGGCAAATGTGCCTCAGTGGTGTAGTGGTAGAGCACGCGTCCCGGGATAGGATGAAACGTGGGTTCGATTCCCGCCTGAGAGTCGTGTTTTTGCTCACCACTCAATTCTCTTAGAATATAGAAAACATCGTAACAGTGCAAAATGCATTAAAAAATACGATCAATTCCGAGTATCAGTGATTGGTTTACATCGAAAAATAATGAGTTTTATAAGCGCGGAATTGAGTTGTTGCCGGATCGTTAGCAGAATTGCATCCAGGTAGACGGAGAATACTTCGACTAATGTTATTTGATACTTTCCTCTACTTGAAAAAGAACTTTTTAGATTTTTAGATTAAGTTTGAAAACTTCGTTGGCGACGTAATGGCTTTCGCCAGAGCCGGGGTTGCTCGGAGCCCGGGGCTCTGAAGTGCATGTCAAATTTCAATGACATTAAGCTGCATAATAGACCACTGAACGAAAACAGATAAGGCACCAATTTCTGAAATGGTGCGCCTTGACGCTCCCGCCTTCTCATTTCAGATGCTGCCACATAAAATTCTCTCTCTCTCGAAAACGAAAAATTGCAGAAGACAGAACACCGAACTCATATAAGCACTTTTGAGGAATTTTGTAAAAGAGATATCGATTATCAAATATAAAGTAGAACTTTGCTGCCAAACATTTCTGGCCACAATTTTCTGTAAAACACCAATCACATTTATTCACTTGTGCTCTATTGTCTAACATTTACTACACCTATGATATCTTTGCTAATGAAGATGTCGACTGATACCCAAATAGAAATTTCTACGGTGTTTCACTGAAGGGTTCAGAAACAGATGTGTAGTGGTATGTTTTCAAGGAACACCAGTAAAAAGAAGCAAAACTGTAGTGGTGCCAAAATTGATCGTAGGCAGAAAGTTTCATGAAGAAATCAAATCGTGATGTGAAATGAGAAAGTCCTAACTTCAATAAAATTGCCGCTTTATCGAAACGTGTGCACTAAACACTTAAGCAACCAATTGTGATGACGCTGAACAAAGGCTTCCTTGCTCACCTTCCAAACGTTTCAAATTTTTCTTACAGTGGATGTTTATTAACCGCTCTTAAGTTTTCCACAATGTGCCCACAAAACAGAACATGTTGTTGTGCATTTCTTATGAAGTCTCATTTCCTTTGTGTAACACTTCAGTGGTCCATTTCCTTTTTTTGCTTTTTCGCTTGGAGAGTTTATCTCGGAAGTCCACAGCATAGTTTTCTTTTGATAAGCGGTCAATGCAACTCAATCGTATTCTGAGCTTTCAGAGTAATTCGGAAGCTCTCAACCATAACAATATTTGGAGCGTATGTTGCTGTGTCCTACAAGAGAGAGAACTGTACTCAATGCGAATAAGACATTTTTGTTAGTAGATTACAGTGGCACTCTAATTTATATTATGTAAAAGAAATGCGCCATACGATGGAGTGGATTTCGGACTATGCAGCTCATTTTGCTGACGGTTGTGTTTCCAACAAAGTGAAAAATCTTCTGAAACACGTTTCCTTTACTATGGAGGTCACTTGTGTTTGAAGCAGAGAATCCCACTCATTTTCAACGAGGATTCTCTGTTGGAACATAATAAACTTTGCGTTATCTGCTTGACGAGCGACGATTTAAAAGCACTGTTAGCGCTGTATAATCATAGCCCTTCTTAGAGGTTTTTTAAGAGCGATTGAAGCGTAAACAGCTCCTTGCCATAGCACTTCCGTGTTG